TGCCGGAGGGGACACGCTCATCTCCAGCCTGCTGGCACTTGTCCCCTGGCGTCGATGTGCTGGCAAGCTGCTGCTCCTCTTTCATGCTTTCCCCCTGTTCCCTGCTATAAAATGTGACTCATACTGGCAATTCTCCCAGCGGAAGGTTGTAAGGCTAAATTAATGTGTGCAGAGTGCTTTGAGATGCTGAAAATTGTTTTATGAATACAGGGTATTAATAATATTAGTGTAGTTACTATAGAAAGGGAAGGTGATTTAGCACTATTTGTGCCTGAGAAATGCCATGTACAAAAATAATGCCATTAGCGTTTTATGCGTTGCACGAGGTGGCAAGCTGTCCTGGCAAGCCAGCTCCCACTGGTTCCAYGCCTTGGAGACGTGCTGGGAGAGCACGTTGGGCAGCGAAACTCCATTGGGAATGCATGGGGTGGGCAGGGGACGACCCTGCCGCACGAGGATGCCCTTCGCATCCCTGCCGGTGGCTTCGGAAAGCAGTTGGGAACATGACCCCGYGCAATGATCCCCCTGGTCCAGCCGATGCTCCACAAGGATTTCACTAGGAACGTACGGCCCGAGTGTTGGAGAAGTGCATTGGAGCTTTTGGGGGTACCCGTGGAGGCAGAAGGTCTGTCTCAGGACAACCCAACGCTTCAACCCATGGCCCAGAGACCGCATGAGAGGAGATGCAAGCACAGGTCATACTACGGAAGAGCAGCAAGGTGTTATTTATCAAAGCAGAGTGAACCGATTCATTTGCATCCATTAATAGCTCCATGATGAATTACCGATAAGAACAAACTGCTCCATCCTTCTTGATCGCAGAAAGCCCACTGCTAATTTGGTGTATGGCACATTCCGACTAATGAAGCCAAGCAAACAGGAATAAATTCTTCCAGGGAAGTAATAACATTGAAACTTCAAGTGGAAAAGGAACAATCTTCTTCGTGATACATTTCACTGATCAGCTATCAGATCCAAGGTTTGTGGGAGTTAGGGGGATGTGGCAGCAACTCTCGATACCAAACGGGAGCAGGCAAACCACTTCTCTCTCAATTTTCTGCCTTGGGAAGATGGAAGAAAACAGGTCTGTAGAAAGCTGCTGCTGTTGTGTTTTGGAACAAATTTGACCTTTTCCTTTTCCTTTTCCTTTTCCTTTCCCTTTCCTTTTCCTTTTTCTTTTTCTTTTTCTTTTTCTTTTTCTTTCTCTTTCCCTTTCCTTTTCTTTTTTCTTTTTCTTTTCTTTTTCTTTTTCTTTTTCTTTTTCTTTTTCTTTTTCTTTTTCTTTTTTTCTTTTTTTCTTTTTCTTTTTCTTTTTTCTTTTTTCTTTTTTTCTTTTCCTTCCCTAACTGCTTCATGAAACATTCAGTCAGCCCCACCAACACCATGGATGAAAGGATGCTCACAGCGTACGCACTGCTTGCAGGAGCTAGATGCATGTGAAGAAAAAAAAAGGAGGCAAAGAGAAGTCGGTATCTTGAAATGGCCCAGCAAGGTCCCTGCTGTGCTCCAGTTCTACCCTGCTTCCCAGCACCTCCATCTGGAAGCAGTTAATTCATTAACTTGCTTGAATTATTCCTATTTTGGCTGCATTGCTGCAGCAGAGCCTTGGCAGGGAAAATCTCCAGTTTTGCTGCTTTCTGGGAAAGGTAGAGCAAAGCATCCCTCTGGAAACGACATTGATAATTGATTTGTTGTGAGAGGAATGGAGGCAAAAGGAGAGGGAGAGAAGGGGAGGAAGAAGCACAGAAGGGGGGAAGAGGACAAGAAGCGAGGGAGCAGGTGAAGAAGAAGCATGGAGGTGGGAAAGGTGACAGGACAGTGGTAGAGGGGGAGCGGGTGAAGAAGAAGCATGGAGGGACAAAGGTTTGCAAGAGCATGGGAGAGGTGAAGGAGATGAGGAAGAAGCATGGAGAGGGGAAAGGAGGCAAGGTAAAAGGAGAGATGGAGCAGGTGAGGAAGAAGAACGGAGTGGAGATGGTAGCAAGGTAAGGGAGGAGTGGGTGAAGGAGAAGCTCTGAGTGGGGAAAGGTGGCAGGAGAMAGGCAGAGGTGAAGCGGTGGTGGCGAGGGAGAAGCAGAGAGGGAGGAAAGGTGGTGTGGCAAAGAAAGAGGTGAAGCGGACAAGGAAGGCATGGAGTGGGCAAAGGTAGACGGAGAGTCGGCAAGAAAGAGGCAYGAATGAGAGGGAAAGTGAAAAGGAAAAAGGTGAGGTGGAGTGAGTGAAGAAGGACAGAAAGTGGAAGGACTGAGAGCAAAGGCGGMATGTGGAGCAGGCGAGGAAGAAGCACAGAGTAGGTAAAGATGGCATGGGAAATGCCATGGAGGGGAGCCATGGAGGAAGAAGCGAGCAGGGGGCAAAGGTGGCAARGCAATGGCAGAGGAGGAATGGTGAGGAAGAAGAGTGGAGGTGGAAAAAGTGGTAAGGGAAAAGGAAAGGAGCATGGATCAGGGAAAGAGTGAGAGCTAAAGTGGTGGAGAAGGAGAGGAAGCAGCATGGAGTGGGGAAAAGTGGCGGAGAAGAGGGAGAGCAAGAGTGGGTGAGAATGGGTGAGCCTGGAGGGCCCAGGTGCACGTGAAGGTCCGGGGAGGCCACGTGAAAGTCTGCAGGTCCCCCAGGGCCAGCTCCGCCTGCCCAGGCCTCCGTGTGCAGCTGGACCACCGGAACCTCCGGGCTTTCCTGCAGCTTCCCCGGGCCTCCGTGCGCAGCTGGACCACCGGAACCTCCGGGCTTTCCTGCAGCTTCCCCGGGCCTCCGTGTGCAGCTGGACCACCGGAATCTCCGGGCTTTGGTGCAGCCTCCCCAGGCCTCCGTGCGCAGCTGGACCACCGGAATCTCCGGGCTTTGGTGCAGCCTCCCCAGGCCTCCGTGCGCAGCTGGACCACCGGAGCCTCCGGGCTTTCCTGCAGCCTCCTTGAGGCTCCATGCACACATGGCCTCCGGGCCCTCCGGGGTTTTGTGTGGCTTCCCTTGGCCTCCGTGCGCAGCTGGCCCCGCAGAGGAGCTGGGGAGCATCCCGAGACATCGCTCCCTGTCTCACATCCCGGGGATTCCTGCATCCTGCTGCTCCCAGCTATCCGCTTTCCGGATCCACACTGTCCTTGCTCCCACTATGCTCCCGGCGCCCCAGGGCTCCAAGGGCGGACAGGGTGTGCGTGCTTCCCTGCAGCCCCCCAAGCAGCTGGATATTTCCAGCTGGATCCCCGTCTCCCTGGGATGATGCGACAGGAATTCCTCCGCGAGCCTCTGTCCCGTTCGGCCCCTGCACGCCCTGTCCCCGCAGCAGCGCCGGTGTCACGGGCTCTGCACGAGGGTGTCTGCCAGTCCGCGGCTCTCGGGATGAGCAGGAGCATCCAGCCACATCCCGGGATTTGCCACTGCGGAGGCGCGAGCACAGCGCGGCTGCGGGGAGGCGCCGCAGCCGCGGGCACGGCGGCGGGACGGGCGGCTCGGCCAGGCAGGCGGCGCCAGGCGGGATCCCAGCGGCGGCGGATCCCGCCGCGGATCCCGGCCCCGATCCCAGCGCTCCCGAATTCCCTGCTGCTCCCGGCGGCCGCCGGCAGGTGGCGCCGCCGCTCTCCGCCCCCCCCCCCCACGGGGAGTCTCGCGAGATGTGCGCTCCGCGCGGCGCTCTCGCGAGAGCCGCCGCCTCAGAATGGCTGCGGCGACGACGGCGCCCGCGGCCGCGGCCGGGCCCGCTCCTCCCGCGCCCGATGAGGCGGAGGCGGCGCCGGAAGCGGCCCCCGCCGCGGCGGCCCCCGCGGAGCCCTCCCCGCCACCGGAGCCGGCCGCTGCGGACGGCGAGGCCGGGTATGGCGCCCCCTCCCCTCCTCCCTCCTCCCCTCCTCCCTCTTCCCTCCTCTCCCATGCCCTGGAAACCGTAAGGGTCTCGGCGAGGGGGTCCCGCCCCCTCCTCTACATCCCTCTTATTCCCCCTCTTACGTGTTACCCCGGTATCCCCGGGGGCAGTTGTTCCCTGTCACCCCGCTATCCATCAGGGTGTTCATTACCCCGGTACCCCTCAGGTCAGCGGTTCCCTGTCACCCCAGTATCCATCAGGGTGTTCATTACCCCGGTACCCCTCTGGTCGGTGGTTCCC